AAAGTCATTGCAAAACAGTGTTTAATTAATGTATTGTCGAAGGCTTTCACGGCCGGCATACGATGGCTGGTGTGGGTCTTCCGGGCTGTGTGGCCGTGTTCTGGCAGTTTTGTTTCCTAACGTTTCGCCAGCACCTGTGACCAGCATCTTCAGAGAGTAGGAGCACAGACAGGAGCATTTCTCTCTGTGCCCAGGGTGATGTGACCCTTTTGTGGGTATTTGTCATACCCACCCATAATCACCCCCAGCAGCCCCTCGTTAACAATTCAAAAGAAGAAAAAACCCTGCCTAATCCCCAGGAAGATACACACATATTCTGACACCAAAACAAGCAGCCACTCAGTAACCCAACCAGATCTCTACAAATACCCACAAAAGGGTCACATCACCCTGGGCACAGAGAGAAATGCTCCTGTCTGTGCTCCTACTCTCTGAAGATGCTGGTCACAGGTGCTGGCGAAACGTTAGGAAACAAAACTTCCAGAACACGGCCCCACAGCCCGGAAGACCCACACCAGCCATCGTATGCCGGCCGTGAAAGCCTTCGACAATACATTAATTAAACACTGTTTTGCAATGACTTTGGCCCTACAAACAGCATAGAAACTTTTAAAATAAGTTAGTTACGCCTTCCTCATAAGATGTCTGTGAAGTACATTAGCTAAGAGGTAGGGATTTGGCCGTGGCTGCCTGGGAGGCCTCACGCTGAGAGCTCTGAACACAGCAATGGTTTACCAATATAAAGGACAGTCTATGTGATGGAGCCATAAAGGCTCCCTAGTGTGTACCTGTGTGTTTGTTTGGCACGACAGAGTTTTATAAAAATTACACTTATGTGTTTCTAGTTAATAAACTGAATTCCTATAATATGTTTACTACTGGAAATACCACTGAAACATTTGTACTGCTGGCAAACCCAGTTGCCATATAAAGGGAAAAGAGGCTTGATCATTTGAGCCTGGGTTTTCTAACCTTAACGTAGCCCTATTAGTACCCACTTCTTCCTCTTCTGTTCCTTGTATAATGAGATCAGGATTAATGTTCTGTGCTTGAATTCTGTCTTCAGTGATATTCTTATTTCAATTTTTTTTTACAGCGCCATGGAAAGCCACTCCCTCCTCAACCCCAACCTGCAACAAGGGGAAGGTGTTCTTTCCAGCTTCCGAACAACATGGCAAGAATTTGTAGAGGACCTTGGCTTTTGGAGAGTGCTGCTCTTGCTTGTAGTCATTGCTTTGCTGTCTCTTGGAATTGCATACTATGTTAGTGGAGTGCTTCCCTTTGTGGAAAACCAGCCTGAGTTGCTGCATTAAAGGCAGCATAAATTAATAGTGTTCTTACTACTACTTGTAAATTCTCACTTTGTTCTCTGTCGGGCAGATGTTGGCAGCCGCATGTAATGTTTATACACACAGCCCCCCCCACACACATATTGTAAAGAAGCCTTTTCAAAAATAAGGATACATTAGTCTTAGCTACATGTTACTGAGTTAAGGTACTCATGAGCTGCATTTAACATGTTTTGGGATTATTAGTTGTAATCCCCACTGATAAAATACGACAATACAAAGAAGCGATGGAAAGCTTGTCCTTGATATGGCAGATATATATATATTCAGGAGACCAATTTGTCAGAATGTCTCTAAAAATTGTTGTTATGGAATCAGGTCTTTCACTGTGGGTCTTTAAAGATGGTTACTTTTTACAGTTACAAGGAATTTCCTGGTGATAGTTTTCTGCAGAAAAATAAATTAATTTATAAGCATGTATCTTTTTTTCAAGAAGCAGCACTTGAGAATTTTTGCACTTCTACAATTTTAACTTGAAATATTTACAGTTTTTCATTTCTTTGGAACAAGACCAATATTTAGTTAATCCAGATGAATTAGGAAATATCAATACTTATTGTTTTAATAAGAACTAAATAAAATTTTTTTGGACTTTAGGGTTTTTTTTTTCCAATTGGGAGAAACTCTCTTTTTCTTAGAAGTTAGCAAAAGTTATCTTAATGGCTTGAAAAACTGAGTAGAGATATTGTGCAAAAGTTGTGAAATAATTTAATAAGAATTAGAAAAAACATATCTCATGTTCCATTAGGAGGCATGATTGTAGAAAGGTTTATATTACCCTAACATACTGTAAGCTTTGGAATGATTTTTCAAGCAATTTAATTGGAACGAACTCAGTGTCCTAACATCTTAATATATGGATTATTGTATATGTAAACTGAGACCTGTCTTAAAACTATAAAGTAAGTAATATATCTAAATATAAGATCTACACTCACTAAGATTATCTAACTAAGATTGATGGTTCAGGCACATTAATAGTGCATGAGGCAATCTGTCTAGTGTTTTGCTAAACTGAAAATGCTGTGTGAGAATGCATTCAGATGTGCAAGAGCATGCATTGTCTCATAGAGTTCTATTTATACCCAGGCAAGAGAGAAAATTATTGCTGATCTCTCTTCTTTTATATCCCAGTAAGTAATTAATTAACTATGTTTAAAATCTAGAAACTAAAACAAATAATTGATTAGTTTATTTCACAGTGAGTAAGTTCTTCATATTCGTTCTGACAGCTATCTGAAGAAATGTATATTTGTGGCAAGGTATAGTCTTCTGTGTAAAATGTTTTGTGATACCTTTTTTTCATTTAACGTTGAAGGAAATATTGGAAATGGACTACTTGTACCCCAGTTTTAGAATCTCTTTTAATATGTTATATAGGACCTGAACATGATCCAGCCAAAGTTACAACTTTAAGTGCATGTTGATTTACAAGTAATTTACCATTTCTTTTCTTGAAGATTATAGGATCTTTTTAAAACAAACAGCAAATTCAAGGAGACTGCAAACATGAATAGATTAATTACTCAAATGTTAATTCAGCAGAAATATGATATAAACAACTAGGGGAATTATAGGTTTTGGGGGTCATTTTCCTAAAAAGTAAACATTCATGTTATGGTATTTCTTTTCTACTTTACACTGTATAACTATTAACTTAATTATTAATTGTATTCTAAGCATGCCAAGGTATTCCAAATAAACATGTATAAACTATGTGTATGCTTCTCTTTATGTATACAATTTTAAATCAAGAAAACTGCAGGTAGTAAAATCTAGTTCTTCATGGTCACTTTTTTGTACAGATCCATTATAGATTTCTCATCTCTCAAATACAGGGACACAGTAATTATAGATGCTTATTAAGATGTGTTTTAAGGAAAGTTGCAGTTAAATATTAATATAGCCAATTTTATTCACAAGGAATTTATAGTAATTTCTGAAAAAACTGAATTTAACTTTGATTATTTGGTCCACACTGTTAGCAAAAAAAGAGATAAAATATACAGGCAAATTTTGGAATGCAGTGGATTCTTCCGATGAGCCAGTTTTGGGTATTTACAATCTATTTAAAAGAACTGGCAAAAAGGGGTATTGTTTTTGTATTTTGTTTACATTTTGGATTTTTTGCCAATCTTCAGGCATAAAGCAATATTAACCAAGGCATAAGAAAGTAAATGCACAGGTAATCTTCAGTCTGCTAATGAACTCAGTGACATAGTTACTAAGGTGATGACCACGGGCCTTGTGAAATTTTCTGTTGCGTCAGTTGTAGTTAGAGACCATTGCTTTTATTAGGCAGCAAGACAAGTACAAACATTCAAAGCATGGTTTCTAAAATTTACACCAATAGATATTGCAAATTGGTTGGAGAGCAAAGAAGGGAGAAGTAAAAAATCAAGTATTTATGTTGCTTTTAGGGATGTTTTTCTCTTCTTCTTTTGCTTTTCTTTCTAATATTTATAAATAACAATATAGTGGAGACTGTTACAAAGCCCTAAAGTTCAGATTTTCTTTTTAGTATTATGAAAACAACTCTGTATACTTTGTATCTTTTATTAATGTTATATTGACCATCAATTGTACAGTCATAACTATCTGTCCATCTATAGAGTTTATCATTTTGAAAATATATCTCTGCTTTAAATAAAAATAGTGACCATTGTTTTTCAGTTAGGTACAGTAATGAAATCAGAAGGCTAAAGCAGAGGTGTGATAGCAAGAGTGTTCACTGGAGACTTTAGGTTACCCTCATTATGAAAAGAATCTGAGGAAAAGAAGGTGAGGGCAACTGACAAGAAGTGATAAAAGGAAACACCAACTTAAAGCACCAATTTTAAAGCAAATAGCACACTAAATATTTAACATCTAATCTGCAAAATAAAATTATTACCTGATACTATAAACTAGCATAGTAGGAAGGATTTAATTTCAAAGGTTGAGAATGGCTTTATCATCTGCTTTTCCATAGTGAATTATGTCTAGACCTTGTTAAGATAACCCATATCTCATTTTCAAGATACAGCCCCAGCAGGAGGGAGTTTCACAATATAATGGATTCAAATAAGAGAAAGGCAACATATCACTATTACAATGACGGACTTGATTTACTAGATGACCAGCATAATTCTTACTAAGAAAGGAAAAGCTAATCCCAAACTCTCGCAGTTAGTGGCCATAACTCTCTGTTTGGGACTAAGGTGGGACCTTCAGAACAAGGATCTCATCATAGTGTGACAGTTTCCAAGGGGTTCCTTCATTTCTCCTGCAAGAATGTAGCCCCAGCTATGTGGTGGTCTGTATATTAGCAAACTAAAGGCACTAGAATCATATAACACCTGTTTTACAATCACTGTGTTTGTTGACAATACATTTCCAGATACAATTCAAAGTGCTAGTTTTGACCTATAAAGCTTTATATGGTTTGATGCTACAGGACCACCTCTGCATAGAGGTGGCCTGCCCAATTCATCTAGTGCGAACCTGCCACTATCACCTTTTAATGGACCCACAGGTAGAAAAAGAGAAATGAGCACAAGGCTTGCAAACAATCTCTGTTGCAGTCTCTGTGTTATGCAACACTCCCCCCCACTTGAGACTAGACTAGCACCCTCGTTGTTGGCCTTCTGGAAACACACAAAGGTGGGCTTGTTTTCATTCCTTCAGAGATTGAATTGCCACCATCACATTTACCATTTTATGGTTGCTTATGTTTTTATTGGCTTTTATGTTTTTACATTGTAAACTGCAAGGAGGAATTTTTGTTGAATCTGGCAGTTTATGAACCCAAATGAGCAAAATACATAAATACATCTGAATGTCCATAGGCATGTTTCTTTAAAAAAAATCAGCATTTGGGAGATTTAACTAAAGCAATGGAGTAAAGTAAGGGGTCCTTCCCAATCTCCAGTAGGGAAAACATGATGCTAGCTGTAATGAATATTCTTTTGTGAAAGTGTATTCTGGACTGATCTGAGCTGCAGTTTGCTGCTGCTGTATTCTATTATTGTAATCTATTGCATTATATTCAGTATGCTGGCTGGGGAATTCTGGGAGTTGAAGTCCACTCATCTTAAAGTGGCCAAGTTTGGTTCAGTATGCTGGCTGGGGAATTCTGGGAGTTGAAGTCCACTCATCTTAAAGTGGCCAAGTTTGGTTCAGTATGCTGGCTGGGGAATTCTGGGAGTTGAAGTCCACTCATCTTAAAGTGGCCAAGTTTGGACAACACTGTCTTAAAGTCACTGAGGTTAAGAAATACTGCCCTAGTTTCAACTACTGTAAAACAATCTTGTGACATCGTAGATGAGCAAATGTATTATGCATAAGGTTTCATAGAATTCAGTCCGTTTTATGACTATGTTCACATAACATATTAAACATTTTTTGTAGCCATGGTACTGTATAGTTCGGTAACTGAAGAAAGCAATTGACTTACATGCTTCAGTTTGCAGACATGAGCCATATGCCAAACCAACCACATTTTGACTTTACACGTTATTTTAATTCAGTCTTTTACATGTGTGGCACAAATACACACACAAATACACAATTATCTAATTACCTATAGATAACGCCTATTCACAAGACAGCATTGGGGCATAATTCAAGCATTGTTGCCTCAGTTACATTAATTTTCATATTAATGACCTGCAACAAATCAAATGGCTTGTTTAGTTTTTGCTTAGTGTTTAAAGCAATTGAATTCTGGTTTATAAACCATCATTTAGTCCTGTCAAAACTGTCTTATTATAATACATCTAACCCCAGCTAGAGTGTTAACTGTCCTAATGCATTTCTAGTTCTGTTTTACTGCTGTAAGAATCCCCAGCTTAGAAGAAACTAGCTGCTAAAAATACTAAAGTTTAACCACTATATCTCATCTTCATAACTGTGTTTTCAATCACTCCAATTAAAGCTTTAAATGAATATTTGTTACTGTGGTAACCAAGGAATTAAGCAGCCCAGTAATACGTTAGGCTTTCATTTTTTTCATGGAAGTAACAAACAGGTCTATTAGATTCAGCTGTAATTCAAAGGTAACTTTATTTCATCATTCAGAGCTTTTATAATGCGGCTTCTTTTTCCTTGGAAACTGTTGCTTGGCCTTTTGGCTTTACAACACCATTTTTATCCTTTAGATTCCTGAGCAATAACCCAAGGATCTATAGTGAATTGCTTGTTTATTGCACAATTTCCAAAGACATTAGAGTATACATGCTTGCTATGGGAAGGGACTTAAATGAGAAAATAAGAGTTATTTGAGTCAGAAAAAACATTGCTTCAGCACCAATGGGTATTAAAGAACAAATTTCCAAAGGAAAGAAGAATACATACCTTTTTTTAATTGGACTTGGAAGTGAACTTTGATACAATATTTCCTTGTTAGGTTATACCAAAAGTGGGCAGATTATATCTTCCTCCTTCCTGCTCTGATTATGAACTTCCTGATATCTCTTCCTGTTTATCCCCAACATCTATATGCCATCTGAAAGTATAATGATTATTGTTTTACTCCCAAAGTTATCATAACATTGATCCATGTTTCTAACCTGAATTCCCTAAATCAGTGTTTCTCAGCCTCAGCAGTTTTAAAATGTGTGGACTACTGGCTGGGGGAATTTGAGGGTTTGAGGCCCCACATCCTTAAATTTCTTAGGGTGTGAA